TTAGAATTATAGACTAAAAGCTTTTTATATAAGAGTAAGTTTATTAATTATAGCTTTAAAAGCTTTATATAAAGTTTTTATAAAGTTCTTTTACTTACTTTATATAAAGCTTATTATTGTCTAATTTATTTAATACTAGTTATAGTTTATATTAGTATTAAAGTAATTACTAAGCTACTTATATAGTAACTTCTATAATTATCTTAGACTAATATTATAAAGGTAAAACATGTGTGCGCGCTTTTTAAAAATATTAGAAAAGATGCTTACATATAATGCCTTAAAAATAGTAAGGTGTTAGTAGAGCTTAATAAATACTATAGCTTTATTAGCTAAAATATTATATAGTTGCCTTATATAGTTATTTTTTTTTCTTTATACCTTCTAAAATTATATAACCTTTTTAGGTGTAAAGTTCTCTACTATAATATCTTATATAAGTAAAAGTTAGTATAGATTGTATAGTAATTAAATTATATATAGTAAGTACAAGCTTTAGAGAATCTTATGTAGAGCTGTAGCTATAGGAACATGTAGCTGCCTAGTTGTGCTCTTATATAGTAAGCTATTATAAGGTAGTTATACTAATTATAAAAAAAGTATTAGGTCTATAGGTAATTTATATAAAGACATCCTTTATTATATTAAGACTAGTAATAGTAGTAATAGTTTTATATAATGCTCTAGTAAAATAGTAAATATGTGTTCTTTTTTTATAAGTTTATATAGTGTAGTAGCCTTTATTATGTCCTTTTTAAAGCTAATGCTCTTATTCTGTAGAGTAGTAATTAGTTTTTATAAAAATAGTTAGCTAAGATTTTTAAAGTGTATAAGCTCTTACTTTATAAAGTTATCTTAAAAGTTCTTAAGCATATATATATTTATTACACTTAATGTGTAGAGTTTTATAATTAAGTTAGCTATGTATAAATTAAGCTTTTTTTAAGTGTGTTATTTAATAGTTTAATTTTATTTACTTAATCTTTAATATTTATCTACTTTGCTAGGGTCTTTGCTAAGATGCCTATAAAAGGTATGTATTAGTTATATGTTAATACATTATGTTAGCTAGTTATAGATAAAGCTAGCATTACTTATTACTCTATAGTAGTTAATTATGTGTTATTGCGCGCTGTCTTACTTCTTGTTGTACGCTGCCTCTAAACAGCCTTATATAAAAAAATAAAACAGACCTTCTAGTGTTAAATAAGCACTACTATTTATATAATACTTTTAAATAGTATTATATAGACAGGTTTCTTACTCTTACTTAGGTAACTAAATAGAGATTTATAGCTACTTATATATAAATTAGACTTTATTTTTACTCTTACTAATTTATAGTTAAAGTAGTAAAGAAAAGAATTCTTTTTATATATAAACTTTTAAATAAAAAAGTATAAAAAAAGCTTTTTTTTTATAGTATTTAAACTACTAATTAGTGTTAAATAGACCCTCTGCTAGCTAGCACTTAGTGTTAGCAAATGTGTACAAGACAGAGAGGTTTGCACAGTGTAAACATTGCACAGGGGTGTTAGGTAACTAGTGTTAATTACTTCTTGTTTTTTCCTCTGTACAGAGGAAAAGGGGGATATCTAGATGTTCGCGCACAGAGGTTCGCGCACGAGCATCATGTGACATAGATACGTGATCCTGCTCGTGCGTGATCGCTCGTATCCAGGCCGCGACGCTGCTGCTGCGTACGGACACTTTATTTACTTTTTAAGGCATTATAACTTACTTTTATAAAACGTTATTAAATGCATTTAATAACTATAGCTAAACTAGAAGTCTTATTAAGATTCTAATCTTTTATATAATTTTAGTAGTTAGAGGAAAAAAAGATCTAAGGACCGCTAAGAAATTTCCTAATTTTTGCACAGAATAGATTAATACGCGACGATCCCGGGCTCGTCTCTCTTTTTATGTATCATACATACCGCGTTGCAGTCTTTATTTATTTCCTGAACGTTTTCTGATATATAATGGCGTTCAGCCGAAACTTGTTTACTGAGATTGCAAAATCGAATCCAGCTCGCTTCCTTCGCGCCCGGAGGCATAACCATCAGATATCATTCCAGCCTCCGACCAATATAGATCCTTTATTTTGCTACACGAGTGGGCGATGGCTCTGGAACGAGCGAGAGCAACTGGAAGCTCGATCCCGACGTTTCGACGTCCCTAGTCTGCAGAAAGTAGCCTGTCAGACCGTGGGAGCGAGCCAATGCGTATCTTTAGAGAAAATCGGGGAGGGCAACTACAACAAAGCCTACCGTCTTATACTAGAAGATGGCCAGAGATTAATAGCTAAGGTCCCACATCCTAACGCTGGTCCGCCACTACTTACGACGTCGTCGGAGGTGGCTACCATGGAGTTTGCTAGGACGGTCCTGAGTTTACCTGTGCCAAAAGTTCTTGCTTGGTCTGCTACCGACCAAAACCCTGTCGAGGCAGAATACATTATCATGGAAGAAGCAAAAGGTTCCCCCCTCCATAAAGCATGGGAGGATCTGCAATTGCGAGCCAAACGTGATATCATCTACGAAATCGTGGACATTGAAAGAAAATTGCTCTCGATATCTTTTAACAGGTATGTTTGTTCCTCAAAATTTGTAGCTAGCATGGCTAACGGGCATCAACAGAATAGGCTCGTTGTATTTTCACGACAGCGGTATTTCAGGATGTGAGCCTGCTGAAATTTCTGGAACGGGTCTTGGAGAAATCCGTCATCAAATTCAATCTCGTTTCTGCATCGGCCCTATCGTTCGAAAAGAGTTCTGGGAAAAGGAACGCAGCAATTTGCATCAATACCAGGGTCCTTGTAAGCCTCTCATGACCCATGAAATATTCTATCCAGCTTACAATCCCTCTAGGGAATTCTTCAAGAGAGTATCTCGAGTCGGTTGCTAGCCGCAAGATAGCATGGATTAAAACCTCCGCAGATCCCCGGAAAGCGACTGAGAATGTATTGCAGTATACAAGTCCAGAGCAACATTCACTAGAAGCCCATATCACTTCTTTACAGAAATATCTATCCGCAATCCCTTACATTATTCCTAACGACTTTGAACTCGTCTCGCCTCGAATATGGCACCCAGACTTTCACGCCGGAAATATCTACATTGACGATTGCGGGCGAATTTCATCAATCATCGACTGGCAGGGCGCGTGGACTACACCTGTATTCATCGGTGCCAACCCGCCACCGCTTTTAGACTATGGAGTCGACATAATGATGAAGTTGCCAGACGGTTTTAAAGAGTTGGATGAGGGAATCAAGGACCGGTTGCGATACCAAGTCTCCCAGAGTATCCTGATCCATTCCTACGAAACACGGACTGCGGAGCAGAATCCATTAATGTACAAGATGATGCGACACCCGCACGGCAAAACGCTCAAGCACCTTGATGCTTTTGCTGGAGCTACTTGGGACAATTGTCTTTACCCGTTGCAGGAATGTTTGATTAGTGTGGAAAGGTATGGACGCTTGTCTGGAACTTTCACTCGATGCTTAAACGGCACTGACATTCTAGGTAGGGAGTGGGCGCATTTTTATACCGAGCACTCATGCCCATATCGATTCTCCGCAGAAGAGCTACAGAGGCATGATGAGGAGGTTGAGACTTTCAATCAGAGTCAGGAGTTTTGGAAGGAGTTGAGTGGGATTTTGACGGATGAGGGATATACGTCGAATGGGACATTTGGGAAAGCGGTTGAGGTAGTTATGGAGTTGCGAGAAAGGCGCTTGGCGGGGTTGGAAGGCGAGGAGAGGGATGAGTTTGATAGGAAGATGAGGTGGGTTCTAGAGCTTAACGCGTAGAGGAGCAAGAGGGGTTGCGCATCGTATAGTATTAACCTAGTACATTTCTGGCGTTTGTATTTTGCCTGTTCCCTTATTTATCGTTTCGATTGACATGTTGATGTGACTGGTAATCGAACACAGACGAGAGAGAATATCGTTGATCATTGAGGCAAAGTCCTCTTATGGTCCTGTCACTGGTGCGCAGAGACTTTACTTTTGGTGGAGGACTCGTGGCGATTTAACCTATCGTAAATTTCATTGGCGGAGATTGGCCTGAAGATTCCTATCGCTGACGTTCCTTTACAGTTACCAAAGGAAAGCCGACTGGTAAAGGCCGGTTACTCTCCTTAAACTACGATAAAGGTCCTCGTACCCATATAATCATTGGAGTGTTTTAGCCTGCGGAATTAATGGAGTTTACGCCGAGGATGTGGTTCCAGCCGATACACAGTTCCATGCCAACGACAACAATAGTTGCCACGAGAAGCTTGGAGAAAGAGTCGAAGATTTAGTATACGCGGATGAGCATTTGTCCTGGTCTGTTTTAGGTTGTGAAAATCAGCCAGCTGTTCAAGCTAGCAAGAAAGAGGTACATTAAAGGGAATCAACTAAACAGATATTTTGAGATCGACAGCGTACTTACCGCGCATCATTGCCACGAAGTCTCAAGATTTTCCCTGCTTTCTTTGGACTGGGACTTGCGATCAGGAATCCTAGTAGAATCACTAACAAGAGTGCACTCAGTACCAAGTTCAGGATACGAAGCACCTAGCCATTGAGCAGCACCCTTTTGAACAAGAAACCGTATTGCACGCAATCCCTCGCTTTAAGTGACGGTACCCTCTTTACCCAAAACCAGATCTGAAACCCCAGTACCGCAATTAGCAGACCAGAGTTTAGAAAGTGGTACACAAGACTTGAAGGCTTCGCTTTGGGAAAATCGCGACGGGTCCCACCTTACTGAGCAACGAGTTGCAATCCGCCATAAAAGGACGGGGAGAAGGTAAAGAGAAGAACCGAAGGTGAGGAGAAGGGTGATGTAGATTTCGACAACGTCTAAGTTTCCGGCTTTGGGGACTTGAGTTAGGAGCGCAAGGAAACTTGACGCGACGAAGAAGGTATTCGCCAGGCGCAAGGTGGGGACTTCTTTCGGACACAGCCATGGTGCAATGAGGAGGCCATACCACTGAAGGTAGTATCCAGCTCTGATTCCTAATCTATACATATCGGAATTCCCAGCCAGCACGCATATTTTGGCCATGGTGACTGTCTGACGTTGCGGCTTCGGAGGCTGAGTAAGAGAACGTTCGACAAAATTTTTTTCAATGCATTCAAGACGCTGATAAAGAGTTGTTGTGTTGTTGAGAAGGCTGAAGAGGCTAGTTTTACACGGGCAAGCCTGGCCCATCTATATCGTCTGGTCAAACCCCACCTCCCATCAGTCTTCTCAGCCTTGCGTGTTCGGGAAATCGGATTCCTTGGCAGCCTTCCAGTGTTCATGTAGTGCCTCACCGGAATACACCACCGAAGAGGTGGTATGATGGAACCTTGAATTGCCGGAGCGCTCGTTGACTCTTTACCGTGATGATGGTGCTAGATAGGGTCTGATTGGTTCGTTAGTGCAGCGCTCTAACTTGGACAAGGTTGGGTGTGCAATTCGAGATACACCCTGAGTGGCGGAAGGCTAAGAGTATGTCGATGTTATGTCCTCTTTCCCTCAGTGTCGCCCGTCTTCATTAAAACGCCCATATTCATGCCCACAATCATCTTGACTAGATCCCAATCCCCACCATCACCCACACAATCCATGACAACAACTCCAGTACACCCATCGCCCGCCTTCACCTTACGAACAATGCCTCCTTGGACAATCTTTCCATCTAACTCTGTATCCCCAGCTCCATCTCTTGCAGATTCTCCAGAAGATGATGCAGGATGTTCGAGATGGTGCCCAATACATATCCATTCCTCAATACCTCTATTCACAACCTTCGCAATCTTATCGGGCCAACACCCCATCCTCCAAAAGTTGCTTCCAGAAAGAAAGTTCAAGTACAGGGGCCCAGCAGGAACTGGATTTGTCTTGTCGGTGTTGACGCCGGGAATGAAGGCGGTGCATTCTGCGGACCTAACAAGGTGCTCGTTGCTGTACCGTAGCTTTTTGGCAATAGTCGATGGGTGCAAGACATCACAGAAATCTTGAATGCAAAATGGACCATGAACGGCGTGAGTGCAATTGTATGGCCATTCAATTGCATCGAGTCCATAGCCATCATTATCGGGAGCAGTTTTGAGGGATTCGTGAAGGTTGTAACGACGGACTAGGACAAGCTTTCCTCGCACATCGCCAAGATAGGGAATATCAGAACCGGTGTGCCACTTATCTTTGTTGGGAGTCAGATAGTGCTTTTCCAAGACCTGGGAGAGATGCTCGTCTGTAGAGTTGCCGACTCCTTCTCTTTTCAGGGACATCAGGATCGTCTCGTTAGGATGGCTTTCGAGGAACTCATAACATGTCTTAAGAACTGGCTCTAAGTACTTCGTTCCGGTCAAACTTATTGGGAAAGCCCCGTGAACTAAATAGAGATCTTTGTTGTTTGTATCAGTAGGGTGTGAGGGCTGAACTCGAATATCTAGGAACCGTATGCCGTTTTCGAGTTGTATTTTAACTGATACAAGCTGACATCTTACGGAAGGTAAAGCGCGATAGTAGGTGTGGGAATTGTGCGTTCCAGGAATACTCAGCGCGGAGAGCGGTAAGGTGGAGGGAAGGACAGACATCCATGTTGATAGATCACGTAAGTGATTCGTGTGTATAGTCAAGTGAGATGTAGGCTTTGCTGGATGATATAGCGCAGTATAACTGGTGGACGGGTTTGGATTCAAAGGCGTGAAGGCTCGAGAGGCCTTCTGTGTGTATGTAGGATTGGTATCGATTCGATACCGTTCGCCCCCAGCAGACTGGATAGTAAGCCGAAGTGTTTTGCTAGCTAAGCTTGAAGGCGCGTCTCCTCCATCCGAAGCCGAAGATGGGGGATTTAAGGTGTAGGAATGGAACGGAGGGAGCAGAACACCAAGATCTTGATGGTTGAACGTCTGCGCATGCTCACCAAGTTTCGGAGCTGGGGGCGCTAGAGAAGTTGTATTCTTTGATGTAAAGGGGAATGCAGTGCCTTTTGATTGTTGGGAATTTGGGTCTTCAAATCTTTCGATGCTATTCAAAGAAATCGAGCATGAAGTCATATTACGAATTACTAGTGGCGGAGCCATTTTGCGTCTTGAGATTGATTGTCTAGGTTTAAAGGGGTATCGAAGAAGAAATGCACGAGAGAAAATGATGTTGCACGGCTAAAGACAAGACTTGGTATGCGTGAGAAAGAGTGGAGGAAGGCAGAAAGTGTCGGTTGGAGAAGTGGGAATCGCCAAGATACTCTGTTGGGGAAGTTGCTAAACTCCTTTGGGCTTGGGATATAGTGCATGCAGGTAAAAGAGCTCTGGTCGTGGACATTGATATCATATGTGACTGTCCCGTTTCATCAACGATTTTCTCTTTTACAGCATCACTATTTACTAAAATGCAACAACATCTCGCACGAATTTGTCAATTAAACGACAACAGAAGGTCAAATCCATCGTCTCTAAGATAGCATCCGACCACAATTCTAGCGATCCTGTAGGGTCCCTTATCTGCCTTGGCCCGTTGTCCGGTCGGGTATCCATGCAGTTGAGAGATGAAGAGCGATAAAGTGAAGAAAGGAAAAATGTACATGAATCACCGGTGGAACTCTTGCATAGTTCCATGAACGCCGACTATGCAATGAGCTTGCAACAACTGTTGAGTGCAGTTGCTCTGCCCGTATAGCCAACAACGCCTACAAATGCAAACTAGCCTGTCGCCATATCAAGAAGCACCCCAAAGTTATGGGGTAAAGGCCCCTCAGGAATGATGGTATCGCTTTTATGCGAACTCGATGAGGAAGGTCTCGAATCGTTTAACATGGACTCCGGCTGAGGCTGTCTGCGCAAAGAAAAGGGATAAGGAGAAGAAACGGGAGAGGTGAAGGGCTCCACTGCAGGCCTGTCTGGGGTTAACGGAAATGCAGTATTGTAGCGTGGATCAGACGAAGATATCGAAGCCATGTGCCGGTTGTTACTGTTCTTCTTAAACACGGTCACACGCGCACGATTTTGCTTTGGAGCTGGGGTACTAGGTGCGGGCTTCGGAGCAACGTTGATATTGTCCTTGCTGTCCTCGTTCGCGGTTGGCTGGTTCGGAATGCCCCCTATATACTCGGAGGGAATGAATCTGTGACCTTTCGATTTTAAGGAAGGGGCCAGGACAGTTTTTGATGTTCTGAATGCATCCGTGATTCTGCTGTTGTTGGGTTTGGCGTTGCTCTTGGCGTTTGCCTGTTTCTTCGCCCGAGCTTGTTGCTTCTTTGGAGCCGGTCTCTTGGTTTTATTATCTGCAGAGTTTTCAGCAGGTACCCCCTGAGACTTCCTCTTCTTGCCCTTCGTTTTCGATGGCGTCGTAGGCTGCTCGGCTGGCTCCTGTTTCATCGGTTGTTGGGGAGCAATACGTGGACTTGGAGCTGGCGTGACCAGCTGGCGTTGAATCTGCTCGAGAGCTTGTGGTTTCCTGGGAGATGACACGACGACTTCAGCCTTTTGTTTCACTTTGGCCTTGGTCAACTGCTCATCCGTTACTTCCCGATATATAATCGGATCATCCCATCTTCGCATGGCGGCGTGGCGAGCAACTTCATCACATGGACCCCTAACCACCAGATCCCAGCAATTTTGGAGATCTTTCCCCATTGGTTCAGGGTCATTGTTGATCCAAACCGTGACACCATCGCGTCGGCCCCTGACAACACCACACATTTCTCGAGCGATCCGCCTTACTCCAGGAACTTTTAAAGTCGTACCAGCAACAATAACAGCATCAGGGCGAGTGCGTAGGTCCAGACTTGCACAAGACCCGATGGCTTCATCGTCAGGGTTGTGTTCGTTGTACAAAACCATTCGAGGGCGGAGTCGGCCAATGCCATGACTACGTTTTTCTGCGACTTGGCGGACAGCGTCATTCAAAGCACAGTTACTACAAGCAGGGGGGACCGGGCCATTGAATTGATCGGCATCAAAGTCGGAAAGTGTATGGCATTTTGAACACACCATGTGATCGAGGCCACCGTGTAGTTGAACAGTCTTGGGCCATGGGCCTTTCTTAGGGAGTGGAACCTCGGTCTTCAGTGGCGGCAGAGATGTGTCAATGCCATCAACGTTTTGAGAGTAGAGGCGCAATAGTCTGCCTTCATGTGCCAAGGTTGCAAGAAGGTGGTGAAAGGCGGTGGGCTGCGCGTCCTTGGTCTTTTGCGATAGTGACCGCACCATGTCGTGGAATGACGATGTAGACGAATCATCTTGGTAGACAGACGCGTCGAAGAGATCTTTGCCGGAGGACTTCAACTTGTGCTGCTTGCGGAGGGAACTAAATAAACCGCCAGATGATCGGAAGTCGGGAACTAGCGAGGGTTAGCATATTGCGTAGATAATATGGGGCTGATTGAGTGGGGGAAAACACACTGCCAGCCGACACGGAAATTCCGGCACCCGCGATGACCACGATCTTTCGTTTCTTGTGCAGGACCTTCAAAAGGCGCTCGAGTTGCGGCCTCTCGCTCTCTGCGACCTCTTCTGCCCGAAGATCAAGTTGCTCGGTGGTGCGCGGCTTGGGATCTGCGAGTTTTCTCTTCTTTCGTGGAGGCCCGCCGCTGTCGTTGCTGGAGGGAGGTGTGGAGGCCATATTCTCGGGTGCGGGCGAGGCATTGGCAGATGAGCGCTGGGACGAGGACGGGGATGGGTAGGTCGGCAGGGGAGCGAACAAGGCGAATTCTGGCGGGGGGGAAGGTGAAGAAGAGAGCACTGTGAGGGGGGACGATGGGTCGGATGGTGCAGAGCTCAACAGCGAGCTGGCGCCGTCAGAGCCACCATGGTAAGCCATGATGGAGAGGGGGAAGGAGCCGAGAACGGGGGAGGTACGGCTATAAGGCGGGCTGGGGCGACTTAATCATTGGAATAGCTAGAATATCGTATCTGGCGAAGGGGGAACGCGCGTGTTGGTGGACGCGCAGGCGCGGTGAAGAGGGAGGAAATGAAGAGGTTGGTCGTGATGAGGAGGTGTCGAGTGCGCTGACATTGCAAGACGCCAAGCGCCAGGAACACCAAAACAAAGGCCTCTTATTTACTTCGGCACGAGCCCAGGGAATTGGGCACAGCAATCGCAGCAAGTGGCACAATTGGCGGCACAATTGGCGGCGAGATTGCTCTGTTGCACGGCCAGGAGACACCGAGATGTGACGACTGATTTCTATTCTGCACTTCTTGTTTGCTTTGCGGGCTGCGGCTGCGGGTGTTGACAGAGAGAGACAACAAAAGGTCTTCCCCCAGGTCCCTTCGCGGGCTGCAATTATCCGAGTGTCTCTCGCAGGCGTCGGAGCTGCTGCTGCGTCGCGATGATGTGCTTCTTTCATGCGCGCTTGTTGTGCGCGCTCTGCGCCGAAGTTTCCTGGGCCAGTTTGCGACACACATTGCCTCAGAACCCCAGTGACTGTGGAATTTCTGCAGAAGCGCGACTCGATGACGATGCACGAAGCCCTCACGAAGGCTGCGCGACGAGGCCGGCGCTAGGTTCGCTTCTTGCCGGATCAGATCCCAGTCAGAACCTCGCGAATCACAGGGCGCCCTCGTCAACCTCCGCCGCGCCATGGTGAATGTTCGAAAGGACCACCATTCACGTTTCTCATCCTCCGTTAGTATTTCTCGTTTGGTTTCGAACGGCGCTTTGTCTCTGATGGATTCTGCTACCCTTGCTTGATTTTGCTTCCTTTTTTCCCTTCCTTCTCCCCGCCAGCAACAACTCTCAAATCCGCGCCTCTACCCGTTGCCAATAGTCATGGACGGCGAATCCTACAACATGGATGTTGATGATCTCTTTGGAGACTCAGAGCACGTCACAAACCTGACAATACCTGCCCCGCCTGTCAAAGGCCTTGCTCGACGGCTTGATGAGCTGAGTTCAAGCGGATGCTGCCAGTAAGCCAGCCTTCTCTCTCACTGCAAAAAACTCTCTTTCATTCGATGTCACATTCTAGTCGCAATCGGTCTATCATTCAAATTTGAGATTGTTCATCCGTGTTCCTGCTCCCCCTTTACTCACGCTTGGCAGGAAGATAGCCTGGTCGAAGAATGGCTGTGTGGCGTACATTGCGCCAGACGGCTATGGCGTAAATCTAAGAGTTTTTGCACGAGATCCCTCTACTGGAAAATGGGATCTCGGCAAAGATACGCCTTTGGAGATGCCGCACACTCAGGAAGATTTTCAGTTCGTCCACCTGTCCTGGAGCCACCTTGGCAACGACCTGGTTGTGATGAATGCCGCTGGTCACGTGATGATCTTCTCAATGGCTATGGCAATAGATCGCATGGCGTATATGCGGGCCGAGGTATCTCAATCCGAGGCAGAGATAGATGGTGTAGTGGGCATGCATTGGCTTGCGATCCTGCCATATGAGCAGAAGGTAGGCTTGATGCCTATCCTATCAGCTGACACTCCACTTACTAGTGCAGAATCACATCGCCTGGTCAGCAAGTGGGAAAGGAGATACCTGGAATTTCAGAGTGTCCACGCATGTGTTCAAAGATGCCCATCATCCAGCAGAGGGCAAGGCTTCCTTGATTTATCTGAAGCGTCATGGTGAACTCAAGCTACGGTTCCAGCAACACGACAACAGCTGGCATGAAGTGTCGGCTATACTGGGCCCCATGTTGTCGACCCGCGAACCCTTTACGCATGCTGCATTTGCTTCAAACAATGGTAGGCACGTGCTATCATGCAAAAGCCCCACAAGACTGACTCTTCAGACAACACCCTGCTTCTAGCCGCACATGATGTCAGCGGTCGACTATATATGTATCGAATCGAAGCAAAGTGGAATATTCCAGTCCCAAGACCTGGGCATGCGCCGAAGCCGTTCGAGAAGCCGGATCTTCAAGTCCTCGAAATCGCCGTTAAGGATAACTGCTATCCAAAAAGCTCTGCTATGGTTAACGGAGACCTGAATAGTGGATCCGAATCAAAGATTAGGATTCCGGCGCAGCTTACACACCTCAGCTTCCTCCCCGTTACTCCGGAGAAAAACGACGGTACTCTGCCAACTATTCTAGCCATTTTCTCAACACCTCCAAACGTTGTTTCCATCGACCAAAATCAACCGCAGCAGAGCCCATTTAGCATTATCGTCAAATGGGAAGTCCACCAAACGCAGCAAAATCAACTGCATTCTAGTCTGGATAAAGTCACGTCAAAGAAGAAGATCGTTAGCTCAGTCTCACCCCGGGACGTGTTCCTGCTTAAACGACAACCTGACATTGTGATGCACTCAGTAGTCCTATCTTTCTTCTCATTATGGTACCACATGGTTCTGTCCTTCTGTTACAGCGATGGAACCATAGAATTCAGAAAGCGATCTACGTTGGAGACTATCGGTCCGGACTACAATGCCCAAACAGTAACGTCTCTATCTCAGGCTGGATTCTCATTTTCAACACTGGAGCCCTTGCTCCAAGTCGCATTGTCGCCGAATCATTGCATGGCCGTCTGTATGCAACAGGACGGAACAATCAAATTAAGATATATGGAGTATGGGTACGGCTCGCTCGCCTCAGACGAGGAAGATGCGAGACACTCTGCAGCTCTAGCCGCCTTAGTTCTCCAGTCCTCAACCGCTGCAAACCAATATTTCTCTAGTGACGACATCTTCGCGGTAGTCGGCGAGCTTTCCGAAAAGCGCAAACGAGACTTCATATATCTCATGTTCCAAGGTTTGAATGTCAACATCGACTGCGGCATTGATGACAACAGCAACAATCACCTCATGCTCCTCGGCCGGTCACCAACCTTCGTAAAGACGCTCAGCGCCGCGCACCTCCTCGGTCTCCAAGGCAGCGTCAACAGAAGCGTATCCAGTAAAATCGCATGGACAATCCTCAACATCAAATACATAACGCAAATTCTCACCACCATCGCGCGCATGCACGGACAAATAGAAAAGAGCCCTCTCCGACCCGAAGTTGTGCCTCAGCTCATCGGCATCTGTCGCTGGATCGTAAACTTCATGGTCTACATGATCGACGAGCTAATGGCACTGGGCTACAAGCTGAAAGACCTACCACAAAACTCCTTCGACCGACCGACGCTCGAGTCTAGAATCCAAGAGACAAATCACTCCGCCATCCTCATCCTCCTTTCATCTTTCCCAAGGATGATGATGAAGCTCTGGGCTAACCCGCTCGTCTGGGTCGCGCGAACAGCGCAACACTACGTTGATAAATGGCCGTCACCAGAAGTCCGTCGTATATACGCACCTCTGCATCAAGCCTTCTCCGACGTACCCTTCACTTTCACGAACTTCGACGTCCTCGTTTCAGAGGCCCACATGCTGGTCCGCAATTCCTACAAACGTGCCGGCATGACCGAAGCTCAGCGCAACGAAGTCGAGCGCGAACTCATCCTCGGTCGTGTCCCTGAAGTGCTGGTCCCCGCGGCCAGGCGTCTGCTAGGTGACACGCTGTTTAAGGAGGATCAAGAAGGCGGCGCGTTTTTAGATCGAAAGGGCATGGATCCTGCGAAGATTATTTTCTTCGATACTACATGGTTGGGGCTGCATGCGACGGACCATTCTAAAGAGTGGTTTGAAACGCATATTGTGGATGTGTGCCAGAAGATGGTGATACGGGGCACAGGTGCGCAGAGTCATCCGGCGTCTATGATGATGAGGTCGTCGAGGGATCGGAGTGATAGCGGGGCTGCTACTGGGTTTGCGAACGATGACAAGAAGGAGAAGAGGAAGCCGCAGCTGAGGAAATGTGTGAGGTGTGGCGCCTATATGGAGGATGTTACGCAGGGTATGCCGGGGTATGCACATCATCATATTAGTTGGTTGATGGGTGTGGCGAAGCATTGCGTTTGCGGCAATTCGTGGATGTTGACCGAGGAAAAGAGGAGAGCGAAATAGGAAAGAGCAAGAGGAAGGCGCCGCTTAGGGAGGTGGTTAATATTGAACACCTTTTTCGGACACTTTTGGCACGGAGAGAACTGGAAAAGGGTGGCTTGAGCGTTGTGGAAGTTGCAGCATTCAGTCTCCTGTTTAGCTTCTAGTATTGAAAGCATATATGATTTTGTTCATGTGTTTTCTCCCTTCAATGACGCTTCTTGTATTGATATGGGATTCTGAGAGACTTTGAGCAATATCAAGTAATGGCATTTCATCCTGACCCGAAAGTTGAGGATGGACTATCATTCATTCGGGTTGCAGACTGCCTGCTTTTCATGTGGATGTTATTGCCAGGTCCGCCAGCCAAATCACCTGGCCCTAATTTACCCCCGGGCTGGGAAATTCCCTAATAGATCCTATAAATGCACTATGATTTCGCCGCACCCGCTTTGATGAGTAGGATATCGCCGTCCTCGACCACATAGTCTTTGCCTTTCGTCATGATCTTACCCTTGGCCTTGCACGTCGCTTCATCACCTTCCTCTTTTAAAACGTTGTAATTGTAAACGACAGCCTGAATGAAGGTCTTCTCAAAATCACCGTGAATGACACCCGCAGCCTGAGGAGCCTTGGTGCCATTCCGTATCGTCCACTGCCTGACCTCGTCGGTACCAGTTGTAAAGAAGCTTCCAAGGTTCAGAGCTTTGCGCATAGTGACGATGATCTTAGGTAGGGCGGACTTGGTTTCGAGCTTCTTGCATTCCTCTGCGGCTTCCTCTTCCGTCATAGCCGCAAGGCGCTCTTCGAAGGAAACGGAGACGGGGATGATCGGGTCACCTGTAGCGTTTTCCTTTATCCAATTTGCAATCTTAGGGAGATGCTTGTTCTTCTGGCGAATGTAGTCCTTTTCGCTGAGGTTGACGAGGTAGACGACGGGTTTGGCGGTAAGGAGGAAGAGTGGGTTGATGACTTCGACCTTGAGAATCGTTAGCCGTTCCCTGCAACTAGATGTTGGCAAGAGCGGAGGATTTAATATGCTGATCAGAGTTGGACTTCTTTTCAATCGGCCCCTGCGTTAATATATGGGGCCATCAAAGAGCTGGGATTATAGAGCAATCGCTCTTTGTCATCCTGGAAAGAGGGTTCGTTCTTGTATGGAATCGTGTTGGATACATACCTCTTTTGGAGACCAATTACCTTTCCGGACGTCTTTGCCAGCCTTGAGCATCTCGATGATTTTCTCCACTGTGGCCAATTCCTCCTTCATTTTCTTCATTTCCAAGCTCTGGCCGCCTCTCCTCGTGTCTTTGACGAGCTTCTCGTGCGACTTTTCGACGAATTCAATGTCCTTGATTCGCAATTCTTCGCTAATGATGTCCAAATCACGAATAGGGTCGACGTCGCCCTCAACGTGAATAATCTCGGCGTCATCGAAGCATCGGACGACCTGGAAGATAGCATCGACAGCTCGGATATGTGACAAGAAAGCGTTTCCAAGACCGGCACCAGTCGACGCGCCTCGTGTAAGGCCGGCGATATCGTAGACAGTCAGGTTGGCAGGCACGACGGATTTCGGCTTGTATTGCTGCACCAACCAGTCGAATCGCTCGTCAGGCACAATGACGCGGGCTTCTTCAGGGTCGATGGTAGCATATGGAAAGTTCTGTCTCGGTCAACATCACTGGCGAAAAACTCAGGTGCAAAGCAGGCAACTCACGGCGGGATTACCGAGATGGCATTTAGTGATTGCTTGGAACAAGGTTGACTTTCCGACGTTCGCAAGCCCGACCTGGGGTTCACTGTTAACGTGAGAACTCGGAGCAAATCATGTGCGAATAGGGCCTCCTACTCACGATGCCGCTCTTCAAGTTGTTGCCCGGCCTGCCGAGGAGAATCTTCTCCTCCTTCACAGCTTTTTTGGGAGGCATCCTGCTGTGTTTCGCGTAGGTGCGAACGGCTGTGATTGAGATGGAAAACTTAGGTGAAAAAGTGGAGTGGAAGGTGGGAGAGCATTCGAGAGCAGTGCTTGCTGCTGGTCGCTGAAAAATGGGTATCAAAGAAGAGAAAGAAAGGCGGAAAGCCTTAGTGGGGGACGTGGTGGAGGGGTGGTGGAGGGAGAGGATGACTGTCGTCCCTCTCCTCTTGTTCTGCCTGGGGAGACTGTGAGTGGCCTGCAGTTCGGTTGCTGCTGCAATTTTCCAGCTCCCCTCAATCACGTGTGAGGTAGGTGTGGCGCGTCGCCTGTGCGGGTGGCTTGAATGGTGCTTGTGCAGTGCGCTTCACAAGTCTGGCGGGTATTACTGAACGCGGCTACAACTCTTCTTTCTCCACTATGCCTCTATTCCTTTCCCCTCCTTCTTGTAGTTTACCTCTCCACTGAAGGGCAGGCCCTGACCTTTTTGCTCCTTTTCTTCCCTCCCCAGTCCCTCTTGATACGCCCACCCTCTCGCCATGTCTTCCTCAACGCACTCAAAAGCTTTGAGAAAGAGCTCGGTGAGCCACCGATCGACCCTGTCGCTTCAGAAGACGGAGATCAAGATTCACGTTTATGATTTATTACCGGTATTGCCACGCACAGTTCTGCAATGAATTTCTTGAACCTAACTTGCAAATGTAGCCTGGAAAAGTCTCGTCAGTCCTCTGGGCCATTGGCAGCTCTCTCCTACACTCTGGGGTTGTTATCAACGATAAAGAGTACGCATATGGTGGCCATGATCAGCGCGGGATGACTGGCGTGTATTGGACAAAGTGAGCTTCTGGGGCGTGGATAGTCGTTGGACACGTGCTCACATTTACAGACCAGGCCAAGAACCACCTGGAGGCACATTTCGACAAGAAATTCTCCACGGATTCTCATTTCGACCCGAGGAGGAGCTCAAAGTTATCATACATGAGGCACGCGGCAGCACAGCATGAAACACGAACACCGAAGCTGACCGAAACCAGGCTTCAGAACAATTCCAGGGCACCTCCTACAACCTTCTCACAAAAAACTGCAATCACTTTACCTCACATCTCTGCGAGAAACTCACGAGTCGGCCTGCTCCCGGCTGGCTAAATCGCGCTGCCAGCATAGGTGTAGCTCTCCCTTGCGTCGTACCACGGGAATGGATAGCACCACCGGATCATGATACTGCGGATGGAGAGCTCCTTGGCGAGGACTTTGAAGACGAAAGATCATCGATGCTGCGAAACGACTACCGGCGGCGGCACCGAGCATCGGAAGATGACCAGGAAAACTGGGACAGTGAGATGGATCGCATATCTAGCAGTAGCCACGGAGGTAGCGGCGGAAGCTCAAGAGGGCATCCTCGGCACGCGTCCCGAAATGATGTCCCCCGACTCGTCTCGATCAAAGACTCTCATGGTAGGGAGATTCCTCCAGCGGAGAGAGCTCCATTGCCGAGACGAATAACATGACTGTCAAGAACGTGTCCATTGCGATTGATATGCACTTGAATTGTTGTGATATACAGTGGCCAGAACGAACCCCTCTGCATTGAAATTCTTCGTCGAGTTCTGGACGGCCTCATTCCCCTCATGATTGCGTACTGTACAGATATGTATATGCCGCTGGGCCGTGTTTGGGGCGTAGAATCCACCAAAAAGGGTTACATACGCACACAAGGATCCAAAGCCCCTCTCAGCCCAATCTTCTTGGAGCCGGACTCCTCGTTCCACCGAATTTCAGCCTCGTTGCATCAGACAATCGAATAATCTTATCGCGAATCTTCCTTCCTTCACTGCCGAGAATCGCCTTCGTGACAGCTTCTCGACCTGGCCCAAACCCCCGATAGATGACCTCCATCTTCTGGATATCCACCAGCAGACCCTTGTCCTGAATCCTGCTCATGACGAAGGCCGCGAGCTGATACGCCGCATCATAGGTGCCCCTTCCGGCTTTCCTGAACCCAATATTCCCGCAAGATACAGATATCAGGGCGTTCCGATTGGGCTTTGTAAGCGTAATGTGCGTGTTGTGCTTGGTTGCGTAGATGTGGAGATGATGCCGGGGTTCTTCTTCCCACTCTCTTCTCTGGAGGTTTTGGTAGAGCAAGGGATTCACTTGGCCCGTCGGGGGAATCATGTTTTCGTAAGTGCCCGGGGTGCGTTGGAAACTATTGTCGATTCTTCTCATCACGTCATCCACATCGATGCTCTCTTTCGCTGGGGCATGAGCAGTGGAACCGAAGGGTCGGAGGGAGGAGGGAGATTGGAAGAGCGCCTTCGACCGGCATGAGGCACAGATGGAGAATTTCAGAGGGCGGAATGCCCGCAAGGATGTTGGGTGAGCCATGTCTGGAGGGTTCAGTTGGCGATGCGCCAATTGCAGCGGCAAAGGGACGGAAGGCCATCGAAGGGCTCGGCATCTGAGGTTTTTGATATGGTCTGTGCACGCTGGTTCCGAAGAAAATGGCCGTCTCGATCGTCCGCATCTCATCCCATCTACCGCTGCACTCAACTTTTTTCCCTCCATCTTTGGGGCGGGCATTACCTCTGACATTTTAGCATAGGATCTGTTGTATACCCTCTCAAATCATGAGGCCTCCAACCGCAGGCACTTTTACTGTCCGGGCACGATGGGTGAATAGCCAACCATTTGCCGCATCACCTTCTGCGATTCACGGACGAGCAGCGGCATACAGGCGGTTATCCACGACACCACTGGTGTCGCGACCACTTTCGGCGCAGCAGAAAACTTTCGCCGCTCAGAATCCCCCCTCGCCGCAATTCCTGTTCCTTCGGAGCGCTTTCCTGCCAAAGGACGTCCTCTATCGAACCTCTTCTATCTACACTCGCCAGCTCCACTCCCAATCCCCTCTATTCCAGCAGGCGCAAAAACGCACAGAAGATAGCGTGAGGGACAAGGAGTCCGAGCCTGAATGGACGGCCAAGCAGCCCTCCTCTTCTGAGAGCGCTGCGGGGCAGAAGCCGGCAGGGCAAGCAGGAGAAGCCGGCACAGAGGGGGAATCACAGGGGAATAAAGCAGGGGAAGAAGGAGCTGGGGGGCAGAAGGAAGGGGCCGAGGAAGGCGAGCAGGGCAAAAAGAAGGACGCCCCACCCCCTCCCCCCCATGGTGACAAGACTCCGTGGCAGGTCTTCACCGAAACGCTCAAGTCTGAATTCCAGGCATCGAAGGAGTGGAACGAGTCTACGAAGCAGCTGTCAGCTGGTGTAAACGACTTCACCCAGAATCCGCACGTTCAGAAGGCCAGGACTACCTACAACCAAGTCACAGATGCCGCCACAACAAAGACTGCCGAGGCATTGAAAACTACCGGGCGAGTAATTGGACATGGCGCGGCATGGACTTGGGATACGACACCCATGAAAGGAGTCCGTAAGGTTGCGTCAGTAACTGGATCAGGCATTGAGCATGTCACCCGGCCTGTACGTCAGTCGAAAGCTTTTCAAGCCGTGAAGGAGACTGTCGATGATGGCAGCTCCTCAAGGTATGGAGGCTGGGTAGAAAAGGAAGAGCGTAGAAGGAGGAGGGAGTTGAGGGAACTGAACGAACTCCAAAGGTCGGGTGGAAAGCATCACACCGGCCCAATGGAGGAGGATCCCGAGTATGTTTTTAGCACGCCAATCTCACAGTCCAGCTACTAACTTCTTGTCAGTGCCGGCACAAACGTCACTCTACACAAGGACGCTAAATATAAGGAAATCTGGCGCGAGTTCAAAGACTCCTCGCGCCTGATGCAAGGCCTTTTCAACATGCAGTCCGTCTACAAAGAGTCCGAAAACCCGCTCATCACAACGGCACGAAGCATTTCCGATCGCGTCACTGGCTTCTTCGCTGAGAACGAGACGGCAATGGTGATCAAGAAATTCCGCGAAATGGACCCCAGCTTTCAACTTGAGCCCTTCTTGACTGAAATGCGCGAGTACATACTCCCCGAGGTGTTGGATGCGTACGTCAAAGGAGACGTAGAAACACTGAAGCTTTGGCTTTCAGCTGCTCAGTATTCCGTCTACGCAGCCCTCATGCAGCAGTACACCACCGCTGGCCTGAAATCAGACGGTAGGATTGTGGATATCAGGCACGTGGATATTCTGTCCGCAAGATTATTGGAGCCAGGAGAAGTCCCAGTCTTCATCATCACTTGCAGGACACAGGAAGTACACGTCTACCGAAACGCTAAGACCGGCGACCTTGCGGCAGGGATGGATGACAAAGTCCAGCAGGTCACATACGCCATCGGTGTCACAAGGATACCCGAGGACGTCAACAACCCAGAGACCAGAGGCTGGAGACTGATTGAGCTGCAGAAGAGCGCTAGAGACTACTATTGAGCAAGTCCCCTCCCCGACTTTCTCACTTATGACCTCTTTCTTGTATTACTACTATTTTCCGCTCATGTGGTTCCCTACCCCTTTCCTTGGTCTAGGCATCTCCAGGCGCTCAACAAGTCTTCAAAGTCAGCCAGCTTCTCTTAACTTGTTTTATTACACCACCCCAGACGGTGGCTAATTTCTCATGTATTTGTGTGGAAAGGGGTTGGGAAGCGTTGAGCGCCGTACAACGGCGTTTATGATATGAAAGACTTCCCCGCTCATGCTTGTACAGTATACGAATGGTGGTTTGGGAATGGCAGCGTGCTTGCTTGTATGCAGAATGGGATCAGTTTTGGGTGGATGGAGGTAGGATGAAGCCATGATTGACAAAGATACACTCTCGCGCAAAAGGCTCGCCAGCATGGACGGAATATGAGAGTCTAGTTCACGACAGGGACTAGCAATCTCTTAATTTCTCCGTAGCTCTAGCAAAAGGGTTAAAATATAGAACCCCACCCTCCTCATATTGCGTGTTATGCGATTGCTTTCAATCTGATTTTGGTGTCCTTCCCCTTCGCTGGAGATGATTAAGCCGAAAGGAGTTCCGCCACAATCACCCATCTTAGCCCCCGGGTCTTCAAATCCAGCGGCTCCTCAGCTCAACCACTGCTCGGCCGAGCTCTCCCATCCAAATCCAGCGTCCGTACCCCCATCTTGGCCCTCAGAGGCAACCACACAAAAACGGTCGTTCGGAAGCGGAGCCGAGGCAATTCGCATTCCCGAACGCAGGTCCGAGCGCCTCTGACGTTCGTTCACCGCAATCTTTCAACATAAACTCGGCCGCGCATTTACGAGGCGATCGAGTGGCTGTGTTTGATGTGGGCGACCAGGAGTCCCGGCGTCGCAAGGTCGACCTTTTGCAGGTATGGTATCAGGAAGAATTTTTCACCGCTCCGGAAGGGTATAATAAGAGGGCCGTTGGGACGCCCATTTGCACTCAGACCGAGAAATTGGTCTGAGAGGAGATTACTTGGGACGAGCAGTGAGTTTTCATTATTTCGATTCTTAGAAGAGCAGACATTACTCTTAGTTTTCTGTCCTGAAAACGTGTTTCTTCAGGATATCTAAGCTGACATTAACATCAATCATAGCCACTCAAGACACATCAACCTCAACATCGACACCCCCGAACAACTCCGAACGCACCACCCAAACCCCCCAACAGCCACAACCCCCAAAACGCAAACCCCTCTGGATCCGCATTCCAACATTCCTCGCCCTCAGCGCCTTCTTCTTCGGAATCGGGTTCACCATGACGGCCTCGCCCGCCCTCCCAACCGCGCAAGCCCTCCTATCACCTCCCTCCGACGCTGAAACCCTCACAATGTTCACGCCCGACAATGAACAACACCAGGAGATCGAGAAATTCATCTTCACCCACCCTCTAACGCAACGCCTGACCGAAGACGCGAAATACATCGCATCGCGCCCGCATCTCAAGATCCCGCCAAACATGCGCGCACAGAACCTCACTGGCGGGACGCTCCTGGGGGAGGGTAAGATTGCGGTGCCGCCATTGCAGTTTACTACCGCCGATGGCTCAGAGTTTGCATCAATTCAGTATTTGGGTCCGGCGTTGTGCGGGTACCCGGGGATAATTCATGGGGGGCTTCTGGCGACGTTGTTGGATGAAGGGCTTGCGAGGTGCTGCTTTCCAGCGCTTCCGAATAAAGTCGGGGTTACGGCGAGTCTGAAGATCGATTATAGGAGACCGGTGTTGGCGGAACAGTATGTGGTGTTGAGAGCCGAGACGACGAAAGTGGAGGGGAGGAAGGCGTGGGTGAAGGGTTGGTTGGAGACGCTGGTTGAGGAGGGCGAAGACGAGAAGCCGGTTGTGCTAGTTGAGGCTGAAGCGCTGTTTATTGAACCTAGGCAGGCGGCCAGTATGGCCAAGGTGTATTCTGCAGCGTGATGTGCAAGTAATTCGTTTAAGCGCTTGGAAATCGGAGTTATGGGTTGGGAGGAATCTTCTATCCTGGGAGATTCTGGTTAATATGCTTACATAGACATTGAAATATATATTAGAGTTGCTCTTCAACCAAAATATCATCTCCTTAAACAATTCTCGAGCTGTATCAGTCACGGTTGAGTCAAAGAACTTCATTCCAGCCGACAGAGCATGACAGAGCATGACAGCATGACAGAGCAGATTCTAGACATATTTTGGCATCCCGCCGATGTTCTCCCTAATTATAGCAGGATATTCAACTGATCAAATCCGTCCTTTTACACTTCCACGACAACTACGAATATACTATATAGTTTAATTTTGCTCGTTCTATGCCCTTGAAAAATCTGTACAGTATATAAAATCAGAAAGATGTTCGTAATAGAAAAGCACTACGGATTAGCTGGTTTGCCTTTCAGATATCACCTACATTAACACCTCTAAGGCCAACGTCTCCCATGTACTGCCTCCCCACTCATTACCTCTTTCACGTTAGACATTAGCTGAGTCCTCTCTATCTTCCATATCCTCCGTTAAATCATCTCCCTCGGCTTTCTCCAACACCACGTTGTCCAGATCGACATAAGGAAGCGTTCTGTATCTAGCGCGCTTAGCGGTAAATTCATTTTCGAAACATCATCAGTTAGATATCCATCAGCATTCTAGTAAACGCTGCACCCTCAAACCCTTCTCAGAGCAAGAAACTGGTCGAAATCGCTGAGAGAGCATCTTCATCGATTCGATCCGTGCCTTGGAAGACAAGGCAGTACCCGCACAGGTCGGGTAGGACAAATTCATTTGACCGGTTTGGTAGGTGAGTGCGGATTTGAGGCATCCCATAGTTTCTGTACGTGAATCTCTGCTTGAATCGAATATATTCAGCTAGGTTGTTCTATCGAAGCTTCTCGGAGATTTCATGACGTTTCCAGTCCCGGGAGCGGTACTCCGCGAAAAGAACCGATCGGTCGCAATTGGAATGGCAAGACAAGTTGGGAAAGCATAAAATGCGTTCATATTAGCCATCCTCCACGTAAACTCACTAATATTTGTGTTTTAGCATTGCGATCGGGAAGTGATTGCAAGTAATACAGACAAGGTTTGGGAACTCCTTCCGCTGCTGCCATGAGCGACATTGTATGCATAGGGGCTCCCCTTCCTTGGCTTTCTCAGCCTCCATGGAGGGAAATGGCCTTTGAATTGTTGTTTGGGTATGACTGCCCGGTGTTCTTCTTGAGAAGAAATGGTAAATAAAGCCACTTTTGAACATGGCCTAAGTATCGTCGGAATGTGACGTCTCCTGAGGCATAGCAACTTTTCTTTCTTTGGGTCCAAGATGTAGTGAAGCCGCAGCTCGTGCATCGTAGCTCTTGAATTTAATAGAAGAACGGAGGACGCAACCGAGCTTTCTAAGTTTGTAACATGAATGAAGCAGCCATCGTCGCTGTAAACGAGCTTGCTTGAGGTGCATGCATCGAGTACACCAATCAAGCCTTAGCACATTTGTGCACACTTTCATTGACGAGCTGAGTGGTGCTTCTGGACGGCGATACCATATTTTTTTTCCCACGGGAGGGCAGCCCATGGCAGTATGCATGTTCGCGAGGTCCTTCCCAATTCTCACTCTTGCAAGTATGGTATTGGCCCTGGGTGTAAAATGACACATAAGTAAATGGGAGCAACTCATGGCAGCCTCCAAGGTGAACGTCTCGGTGAGTTTCGCCCGACAACAGATGCTACAGCCTGTATCATTAGTATAGACGTCCTTTAGTCATGTAGGGGGACTAGTGAGGGTGTAACGGTCACATTGCCATCGGTACCGGCCGGGGTCATGCTGTATGTCCCCACGAATGGCAGATGCGTTGCGAGGGAGGCCCAGGGTCATCTGGATTCTGATAAGAGACCTCCTCGGTACAATATGAGCACGCTAGAATACGAGAGAGTGCCTTATCCTGGAGACGGAGAAATAGGGCTGAGATTGAAGGAGAATACTTTTACGACAGGGCCCTCAATAGCCTTGAAACACCAGTGTGAAATGCAACTGTAAACCTGGTCATGGTGCAGCAGAATAGTATTGTATTGCTGTGGAGCCGCTGGGGGCAGCCGTATTATGCAGAGAGGTACAGGCACGAGTAGCTAGTGGCCTGGCCTGGTTACAGCAACTCTGTACGTTGCCTATCACCATCTGTGTTGGCCGTGGGAGTGGGCCATAAATAGTCGAGTTCCTAACAGCTTCCCTAGTCCAGAAACCTAGTGCACCAGTCTCAGCGTACGTTCCCAGAAGTTGTGCAAATACTGCTTCCTAGAGTTGTCCCAATACGATGTCGAAATATTGCGTCCTTAAGAGGCTGGTTGAATGGTGTCGACGACGTCGTGGCGGTCTCACAGCGTCTGATGAGGGCATCGGGGATTTGCCGGAGTGAGCATCAACCACGATCATCGAGCTGAAGTCCGCCAGATTTTGAATTACATTGTTTCACGTTGCAGCAATAGGGACAAAACATACTAAACATCTCTGATAGATAACCGCAGCTATAGGCATTCCTCGCAGCTGGGCGGTTCGGAAGGAGTTTCCAACTGCGCAGCCTCGATCATCTACCTTTGATCGTAATATACGAATAATATGCCTTCCTTGGTTTTTGTGAACCCATTATAATGCTTCGTTTGAGCAAAAATTGCTTGCTTGGGCTGCGATTTCGCGAACATGTTTCTTATAGCCAACGTGAGCTTCGGTGATCTGTGCACAATAAAACCGGCCCACCAGCACTGACTCTGATGTTGTAAATAAAATTGGGTTGTTGCTTAACATCCCTCCCTGCGTCACCGGACACCCCCCGTAACCGGACAAACTACAGGTACTTCGTGGGAAAAACCACCACAATAATGCAACCTAGCTGTGAGTTAATAGCGCATATGCATGTAATATATATCTTGCTATTACTTAACACTGTCCTTTATTTTGTTATGTTTTTGCTTAGAATCCTGCTTTTTTTTAACATAATTCTGTGCCCTCTACACTTTTAAAGTAAAACAGCTACAGAGCTTATATAGAGTAATATAACATGTTTATAATCCTATAAAGCCTTTATAATGCTTCTAACATTATGTTAGCTATTTTATACAGTTTCTTATCTATCTAGCCACGCGTGAGTAGGTAAGAGCTATTTAAGTACAATGCGCTGCTGCACGCAGGTACCTTCTTGTAACACTTGCAGTATTAGTAAGCCTACACTGCTACAGCTATGCTAACTTATTAGTAATATGTACTATATTATAATTATTGTCTTGTTCTAAAACATTAAACTATACACACTTTTAAATTCTTGTTAGCATGTTTAGTTAAGTTATAAAACCTAGGTAAACGCGTATCTTAAAGCTTCTAAACTAACAGCGTGGATCTTAGTTGTTCAGGACAATAAGGGGGCCCGCGCTGAGCGCTGTTGTTTAGCGCCGGCTGTGCATTCGCTCGCTGCCTCACAGTCTCTTCAGCTCCGCAACTGCAACCTCCAATCGCCTGGCTTGCCGTTTGTGTCAGAACGCCCCGCACAACCAGTTGGTCTTAGGCGGTGTACTACTAACAGTTATATAGAAGATCGTGCTTATAGTTACATGCCTGGCTCGCAGAGAGCGTATACAAGCCGCGTTTGCCACACCCTTGTTAACAAAGAGAGAGCATGCGCGTGTATAGAACTTCTAATGTGTGCTCTAACATTATAATCCACTGCCTAATAATTGCTAATTAATGCTAACTAGAGAATATTAACGCCCTTAGTCTATCTGCCTACTTTCTCTCCTCTAGGGCTTACTCTCTCTGCAACTTAATAGTTTTAAAAAATGTCTTAAAGTTCTATGTCTTATTTATAAGTATGTTGTGCTTTTCTATAAGCTCTGTTATTATAGTAGCAGTTATTTTTCTACATTTATCTAGTAATAGCATATTAGAAAAGTTATTTTTATTAGGTATTAGCATAGTGTATGTGTAAGCCTAGAATAATGCTGCTTAAGCTAACACATTATACTTATTACTACAGGCACGCCTCTTTATCTTATAAAAGCAGAACAGTGCTGTTTCTAATTCTAGTCTATTATACTAGGGCCTATATGCTAGGAAGTAGGCAACGCTTTGTAGTATATAATTTAATTAATAAGTTAAAGAGACTATCTTCTCTAGACCCCTTTTACTACTTATAGCTCTAATTTTCTGCATAATAAAAAAAGTATATATGCGCAAATTAAAATAAACCTAAATAAAGTGTTTAGTAAAAAGATCTAATCTTTCTCTATATAAAAGTTACCTAGTATATGTTCCTAAATAGTAAAGAGACTGTAAAGTGTAAATACACTACTTTAAAAGTAGAATAGACAGGTTGCTGTTAAAAGCATGCTAGTCTACTAATAAAAGAATGTTAGTAACAGGATTTATAGCTAAATAGCGCATCTAGTAGGTCTTACTTATCTAACAGTCTATTAGGTCTTTTACTTCTTTAATAGTATCTAGTAGATTGTCTTTATAAAAGACTTCCTAACTTTATTTTAATTCTAATAAGCTTAAATGTAGTCTACTACACTTACGCAAATAACACAGTAGGTGTTTAAAATAAGATTTTATAAGCTATACTGCAGAGGTATTATTCTCTGCTTATTTATGTTAGACTAAGTAAAAAAGAACAGCTAGCTATGTTAATTAACACCTACTATAGCTTTTATAGCGCGCACTTTTAGATATCTTTTTATTAAGTCTCCTTAACATATTCTTCTTCCTCTTACTATAAATTAGTAAGATATACATACTAAATAGTCTTAAAAGTATGTACGCTTAATTCTTTTTACACTTTATTTATTAATAGTCTATTTAAAAAAGCTGCTTCTTAACATTATAATCTAATAGTAGACTACCTTATAGTATTAACTTAGAAACGCTGCTAATCTTATGCAGCTCTTTCTTTAGAGACCTCTTATCTTTAAGTCTAGTTTATGTAGACAAGAAGAATTTAATAAAGCAAGGCGCAATTAACTCCTACAGCGTCTAGCCTCTAGTGTGCTAGCAGCTTTGTTTAAAAATAGGCAGCTAAGAGGATCTATAAGGCTCTTTACTGTTAGTTGTTACATCTGACAGATACACGTAGCATTTAGCAGCATTCTGATACCACCTGTACATGGAGTTAATAGCGGTTGTTAATTCCACATGATTTGTCTTATTAATACAAACTCTACATACACTTGCGACAACATCAACTTTGTTTAACCGCTTACATAACCTGTAATTTTTACTGCTTAGCTTATTTTTTAATATTTAAAACCACTTATTTCTACAATCTCTGTTAGACTCACATCCTTGTGATCACACTGCTTAGGGTTAGGGGCCTAAAAATAGGACTCCTTCCCCCCCCTTCCCTCACATTCTTTCTTCTCACCTATGCTAGAGAACTAAAAATAAATTATTAGCAATAGATAAGTATGCCTCCTTGCTGTAGCTATAAAATAACTGCCTTCCTACTTAACTAGTCCTTAGTGTTCTTAGTACTCCTCTTAAACTGTCACATCTATAGACGCTTATCTTAAAAGCCTTATTTCTTTAGAACAACTATCTAATACTAGACTCTCTAAATTGCAGACTAATAAAAAGTTAATAGAAGAAAGTTTTATAAAAGTTTAGAAATATTTAGCTATACTAGTTAAAGAAGATGTTCTTATTAAAAACAAGAGTAATGTTACAGTCTACAGTTGGACCAGCGTAACTCCACCCAGGATGCTCCACAATATGGTACGGTTGGAGCGGGACTCGCTTACAGACCAAGCGGAGGACGCGGAGGTAGCACGGCTACCTAAGATTATGGAAGAATGCGTTGTCTAATAGGTGTAAGGACGGAGCTCTGTACCACTACGCCAATACAACCAAAAAGGTGCGAATAATCAACCAACAGTTAATTATTGCGTACAGAATAGTATATATACCCGTCGCACGTAAGCACCATCTCGGCCTTACACGTAAGCGCCATCCCGGCCTTACAATAGGAGGATAGGACGCAAATTCTATAAGTCTAAAGAAGCTTAGCAAGCTCTGCTTAGTAGGCTTATGTAGGCTTATCTAGCTTGCCTTAGTGTCCCTTATGCATGTATATAGTTCCTATATTAAACAACTTTTAAAAGGTGTGTTTAATATTTAGTTTATTTTTTATATAAACTAAGTAGCATTTAGCTTTTTAAAAAGCTATAATACTATTTATATATCTTACACTATATATACTTCTAACTTTGTTTATTAGAACTGTTTAACTCTAGCTTTTCTACTGCTGCACATAGGGTAAACTATAATCTAGTTACCCTCCCTTCCTCTATTAGCCTAATAGCCTGTACGTAGGACTGTACACCCTACTAGATTAGCCCCTACTATCTGTTCTACTTCTCCCCTAGAAATATTATTAGACCTAAGTGCTTTACAAAGTAAAAATTATAACATTAAATACTACTTTCTTTAAAAAGTATAGTAACCTTTTAACATAATTTAGATTCTAACATAGCCTACACTGCGCTATCTAGATCTATAGAAGTTCCTACCTAAAGTAAAGCTATTCTAGCAAAACAGATTAACTCTATCTAAGACAACATTAAGAAACTCTAGCAGATTAGTAATAAAGTTAGTAAATTATTAAAACTTAAGTAAAAAATAGCTAACTTTTATAAAAAAAAAACTATAAATTTATAAAACCTCTTACTTTTTATTAACTCTTATAAAGCTACTACCTAAGCCTATTAGATACATAAATTATAAGTAAAACTAGTAAAAGTTTAAAACATCTTAATAAATAAAGTAAGTATTATAGCTAAAAAAGCTTTAAAACTAGCTTTTTTAAAGCTTTTTAAAAAATTATTAAAAGACCTTTAACTATTCTTTACTTAATGCTACCTTTATATGTAGTATAATAAGAGAGCATTTTAGACTAACATAGAAATAATCTTTTAAATAAAGTTACACTTAAAAGGCCCTCTTATAATCTAGTTCTAACTCTACACTAATAACTAAATAGACTTTAAAGCTAATAGCGCCCTACTTAATCCTAAAATAAAAGAAGTATTTAGTAGCATTAAAAATTTTAAAGTAGCTTTATTAGCTATTTATAGAACTTTAGACAAAAAAAAAATTATAGCTAACTAACTAGACAATATAAAGCAGGGCAGCAGACTAGTCTAGAACTATGCAGCGCGTTTTAGGGAATAAATAGCCATCTGTAGATAGAACAACTAGAAAGCCCTATGCTGCATGTTTTATAACAGACTAAATAACAAAGTAAAAAATAAGTTTATGCACATAAACTAACTAACTACTCTTAAAAAATATATTAAAAAAGTAATAACTTATAATAACTATTATAAGGAATATAAAAAAAAAAGAAATTAAAGAGAACTTATTAAAAGCTAGAATTTGTCTCTAAAAAGAAAGAGCTTTTATAATATAACAAAAAGCTAATAAACCTTAGTTATATAAAGTATACATAAAGCCCCCCTTTTAAAAAAAGCTAAGTTCTAGAACGCAATAAGCTACTTTTAATAAAAGAATAATAAAAATAGCTAAAAAATAAGGCCTACCTAAACTATAAAAAAGTAAGACATTTCTGCTAAAATTACCTAAACTTCTAAAAGGAAAAGAATAAAAATACTACTATAATAATAAAAGCTATTACTGCTAAATATAGCCTTACAGATAAGGAAATATAAGAAAGACTAAATAATAGACTTTACTAGTAATATAAAAAAAACTACTCTTTAAACAACTACTTTAAAGTGTATTAAAAAGTAGTTATTTAAAATTTTAGTAGCCTTAATATAGTGTTACAGAACCTTATAATTTTTAAAGAATATAAAGAAAAAACTTAGATTTAAAGATACATTATAAATGTTTAGAAAAAAGAAGAATAGTTCCTTCTCTAAGATTAAACCTCTAGTACTTTAGCAAGAGAGCTTTCCTAACAGTTTTAGAGATGCAGGTGCTAGAAGTGTAGGTTACTACATAACTACTTAAGTAACTATATAGTCTTACTTTACTAAATAAATATTAGCAATAACTACTTAACATTTAACATTATATAAAAAATAGCTAAAGTTAAATATAATATTATAAATAAAAAAAAGTAATAGTAATTTTTTACTAAGATTAAAGATTAAAAGCTAAAATAGTTAGGCAAACCTGCTAGGTTTAAAGTACTATAACTAGCGCCTAAGAAACCTAAGACACTACTTCTAAGCCTAGTAATCTCTAAAAAAGCTCTTGCAGTATAATAAAATTATAAATAATATGTCCTCTATAAAAGCAGCACCTATAGCACAAGCAAGTGCTAATAGAAAGAGCACCCTGTACAGCTAGTACAAATAAAAGAATATCCTTAGTAGACTTAAAAAAGTCCCCTTAACACATTACATAGACCTAATAATTGTCTATACCCCTAGTACTAGTGTACACAACAATACTGCGTTAAACACTAGGATAACAAACATTAAGCAGAATAGTAGCCTATATAAGAAAAGAACTACAACAGTTGCCTATAGTAAGAAACAGCCTTAGCCTGCAAAACTACAAATTGTTACACTTATTAGACAGCTCCCCCTTATAAATAAGAACTATAAATAAAGTGTAATAAATAAAAAAACTGCAGGTTCTACTACTTCTAATAAAAAGTA